TAATTGTGTAACTGCAGCACATTAGGGACAGAGAAACATTTCATTCATTTGGAAAATAGCAATGATATTATCTACATTCTGTTTTTGTGAGCTATTCACACTGGGACAAACCTGTTAATATGAGTATACATTGTGTGCATATGACAGAAGAAAAAATATTTAAAGAAAAGGGTAGGCAAATACTGAAAAAGTACATTGTCTAAATCATGCCCAAATTAATCCTGACTTGGAGGAAGTCTGAATAAAGATAAAACTTGATTTCTAAAGTACTGAAAGAGAAGTCAGGATGCAGCTGATGAATAGTAAATAAATATGCACCGCCTATTTATAGTGACTTCAAATGTGTCCTAACAGAAGATTTGATCACTCAGAAACTGTCCATCGGAGGTCTGATGCTATAGAGTAGGAATGCAAACATCTCTCAAACCCATAATCTAAACATACAGGGACAACAGGAGAGGCACTGCCATGCTGGACCTCATTACTGCTCATTCCAGTGAGACCATCTTCCTGGCAGTGAAAAAGGTCAGGCCAACATTTGTTTGAAAGCTTCCACCCACACATTTTGTTTTGCATACAAATAGGAATGAAACATGACTGAAGCAGTAACTACACGGGCCTAACATTTTTCTACAGTACTTTCAAAGCTTCAGTGGCAGACACCTATGTAAACTTATAGTAAACTGATGACTTTTAGATAGAACCTACACATTTCTACACATACAAATCAAGAGATTTAATAAATACTTTGTGGACAGTAGAAAAACCTCACAATACAATAAAAGATGGACGACGAACAATCTAGCTTAGTTTCTCTCTTAAAAACCATGTTATGTATTGTAGGCAGCAGAAGCAAATAATCAAAGTCCCAGATTAAATTGTGACTGAACTGAACTACTCCTTAGACATACTTAGGTCTATCGCTTCTGGTCCACAGAAGAAGAAACGGCGTGTAAGCTTCAGTTTCTGCTTTATCATTCTAAAAAAGGTCCTCTGACGGCATTTCTCATCTATGTCAATATAGGCTGTGAGCAAAGGTTCTATTACTTCTCTACTCACCTGCATTTTGTCACCATATTCTCCTTTTCCATTTGTAGGGTTACTGCTATTTGAAACTAATTTATATGCTTATATACTACCTATTCCTTTCCCCCATTAGACAGAATCTTTACTTCACAATGACAGAGAATGATGTTTTTTGGTTTGTTTGGTTTTTTTTTTCACTAGCCCTGTCAATAGTGCCCCAGCACACTGAGATCTAGTAAGTATGAACGACTATATGAATATACAAATGAGCACATCAACCCCTGCACAACCTTCTTCATAATCTTCATTCATAAATGCATGAAGTTTGTGAGTAGTTTGGAAGTTAAGGAGCTATTTCTAGATACTGGACAAACGGTTTATCAAAGCAGGAGCTGAGAGATAGCTACTGCAGGTAACTACAGAACCAACAGATGTACATATTTACCTCACTTACCTACCGAAAGGAGGGAGGAGGGAGAGAGGGAGAGAGGGAGGGAGGGAAGGAGGGAGGGAGGGAGGAAACAGCAACTGCTCTAAACACTAGAGATCTTATTTGCAAAAGCACTGTGAACTGCTCATCCATTCTCCTTCCAAAAGACTTGTTAAGTAGTTGCTTTTACTTTGGAAGACAGATGGTGGTGGGGCTACATATACAGTCATTTCTCTAAGAATGTATACTCATGTGTGTGTGAACAGTTTTAAATGAAATTCTAAGGTTTAGTATATATTGCAACAAATTCTAACATTTAACAACTTAAAGCTTACATTATAAAGAATATCCAAAACACAATATAGTCCACATAAGAGAATATCTAATTTCAAATATTGACATTTAAAAATTTGCAATTTAGCAAATGAGAAAGAATTAAATCTGTAATTCTGAAATTTTCTACTCAAGACATTCTGAAGGCATTCCGAAATATTATGTTCAAGAAAATGACATAATGACAAAACAGATGTAAAATTTTAACTAAATGAAAAAAGACCAACCAAAATTTTTAAAAACTTCAATCCTTTAGAGAAAGTGCCAGATGTAGTGCTATATATACAACTATAATCCCAGCATTCAGGAGGGAGGCAGAAGCAGGAATGCCCAAGTTCCAGGTCAGTGAGGGCAACATAACAAGACTCTGCCTCAAACACAAGAAGCAAAACATCTCAGGTATCTGGAAGTTACAATAAATTTGACTGAGTAGGGAACTATCCACTAATAGTTTTATCTACAAATAGGTTTAACATGTCTGAGGGACAGCTTTAGAGAATATATATCTACATCTGGCCCTCCATAACATTTCAATAATAACTACATTACAGCAGGAACATCTGCCTCCCAGACGCCATCCATGTTCTAAATACTGATATGCAGACTAACCCCTTCAGCCACCCTATAAAGCACACATATACATTACAGTGTTGAAATCTGGACTGCAGATATGCCCAGATTAGAGTTTCTTTAGGTCTTACTATTTTGGACTGGGTTTGTATGTGTTTTACATTTGCCTGAGCCATCACTTCCCATTCCAGGGAGCAAAGGAAATCGATTGTCTGCCTAGGTCTCAGTGGCTTACACCACTCAGCTTAATGAAACAGACGTTGATATCTGATTAGCTGAGACAGAGGTGTGCTGGAGAGGTTCAAACTACCTTGTGAGAGCCCACTGTCTACATCTTCCCAGATATGCATTTAGTGATACCAAACTGGTAATGTGAAATTGACCAAGAAGGGAGCGGTTTATAGTCCAGAAGTTGGCAAAGCTGGGGTTCTTGTTAAAATAAAAAATAAACTGTTAAATGGTCTCTCAGATATCACTGATGTGAAAAACAAATGGGTATTTCACTAATTTTGTCAGATAGAACAAGCCTATGATCTTAACTGGGTGAGCCCAGTTACTACCTGCACTTGTAAACACCCAGAGTGCTCAGGAAGGGGTAACTACCTCTTAGAATTGCTCTCTTGGACTATTCATTTCTATTAATACAATTGGTTCTTTCCTTTTCACATGTGTATGTGCTGTGTGTGGTACAGGGCAGTGTGTGCACATGTGCCTGCATCTGGGTATGTAGGAGTATGTGTGTATTGCAGGTATGCATGCATGTGTGTCTATGTGGAGGCCTGAGACTGATGTCTAAAGCCTTCTGTGGTCATTTTCTACTGAGATAAGGTCTCTAGTCTAGCTAGTCAGTTTACTCAGGGAATCTGCTGTTTCCACCTTCCAAATGTCAGTATTACAGGCAGGAGCCACACCACCCACTCAGCATTTATGTAGGTTCTGTGAATCCAAACACTGGTCCTTCTGTTTGCTATTTGTTCAGCAGGTGCTTTAACTACTGAGCCATCTCCCAGACCATCTTTTCTTCCTTTTCGAGACTGGGTCTCACTAAGTAACCATGGCCAGCCTAGAACTCGCTATGAGGACCAGCCTGGCCTAGAATTCATCATAAGAGATCCACCAGTCTCTGCCTCCAAGAGCTAGGATTAAAGGTGTGTGAGATGAACATGGCACAAACTTCCTTTCTATTTGTATATATATACACAGTGTGTGTGTGTTTGAATGTATATGCCTATATATGTGTAAGCCTATCATTGACATCGGGTAACTTCCGTGAGCACTCTCCATCTTATTTACTGAGGCAGACTCTCTCACTTGAACCCAGAGCTTGCCGGTTCAACTACTGCAGATAAGCAGCTTCCTCCAGGAACCCTATTTCTGACTTCCATGAGCATTACCATATTGTCTGCAGAAGGTTCTGAGAATAAGTGATAGTTGAGTACACGGTCTTAAAAAGATATCTATAACATCCCCCCTAAGGCTCAAGGAACATTTCAGAAGAGGGGGCAGAAAACTGTAAGAGCCAGAAGACAGGGAGAAGAGCTGCAAAGTACCAGCTTCTAGGCAAGACATAGACAGGTATTGCAATCAAGGGCTCACAGAAGCTTCAGTGCCTGCACTAGATCTGCAAAATGAGCTCATCAATAGCCAGGCAAGGACATGAGCAGAGGACAGGTTGACGGGACCCTGTCTCTCACTACTGAATTATCAGCTAACAGACTCAGGGAGAGGGAAGTTATTGCTTGCAGTCTGTGCCCACTGGTGACCCTCCCAGGCTCCAGTGTGTACTTCAAATTCAGTGGTCACATCAATGGTCCCAGTTAACCTAAATGAGTCATACAACAAAACAAGTTCAAAAGGAGTCATGAACTTGGAAAGGGTCGGGTAGGAAGGAGAATGTGTTCATCATGATGGGAGGGAGATAAGAGAGAGAAGGGAGGAGTAATCAAAATGTATCATCTATGTATGAAATTGTCAAAGAACCAAGTTAATTAAAAAAAATCAACAAAACCTTTGTGGTACATTAACCTTTATAACTACACAGGTATGGGGAAGGTATGCATTCACAAGTGTATGGAGACCAGAGGTCAACATCTCAACATTGGATGTCATGTCTTAGGCACTGTCCATCATGCATTCTTTTTTGAGACAGGGTCTTTCATTGACCTCAAGCTCCCCAGGTAGACTATACTGGCTGGTCAGTAAACGTTAGGGATCCACCTGCCTCCCAGCACTGGAATTACAACTGCATGTACCACACATGGCTTTCTGTGGGGTTCCAGGGTTGGAACTCTGGTCCTTATGATAGCAGAACAAGCAATTTACTGACAGTCCTTTCCCTACTCCTATGAATACATTAAAGTCACTTAGAAATGATTCTACTTACCCGCCATCCACCTCTGGTCTTTTACACACACAGTGAAACTTGCCACCAAAATCTATGTAGAGATCATCCTCCACAATATGAAAGATCCGTCCAATGACCAGTTTGTCCTTGGCAGGCCCCATCTGTGTCAGTGGAGAGTGTCTCAGCATGGAGGCAAAGGATTCCACATTTTTTGGAGACTCCTAAATATGAGAAGAAATATTTATATACATGAAATCCACCAAAAAGATGAGAGTAAGTTTAACAGGGACTTAAAGAGGAAATTTCACAAAACCAATTTTCTGTATACTTACACTGTGCAGAATTAATTCAACACTAAAAGTGGAAGTCTGCTCCACAAGACAGTAATATTCTTTCACTTCCTCTTCCTCCCTTTCTTTCTCACAAAAGAACCAAAGGAAAGGGTCTGGTAGGGAAGTAAGGAGAGCAGGCAGGACATGGGAAGTGGTATCATATCCTGGGCCCTTGAAGCACATCCAAAGAGACCACACTGACCTCACTCCCAGAACTGACCACCTGTAAAAAATGTCTAGCCCAGAGAGAGTGACTTTATCACAAATATCAGTCTGAGTATGAGTTCTTGTTATAGAATAATTTTAGACAACTCGGGTTGGTCTTCATACCCCCCACTTTTTTTTTTTTTTCTGATATAAAGTTCCCAAGGGAAAATAGCCTCTAACTTTTTTCTACTACAAACTTTTTAGGAGTCTTCTAGCAGTAGAAAGCTGGACAGGGGATGTTGTGAAGGAATTTTCTTATTCTTACAACTGTTTCTCAGGCATGCTTCTTTAGAAATCTGAATACAAACTTGTGTTTTCTAGTCATCTTTAATTTCAATATGAGATGTGCGTATGGATGTTGGTGCAAAATAAGCACCAGATTTCTATTTGTGACAGCAAATTACAGAGGAATATTAATAAATTGATGTGTCTACCTCTACCTACCTACACCCTGAATTATGAATGAGTTTTACATACTACTCAAGGATTATTAATCATTCAGTGGTATATATTTTCAATTACACAACCACATTTGTAACAGAATTTTAATGTATACTCTGTGTTACAAACTCAAACGTCTGGCCCTGGGAGGCATCCTGGAAGAACAAGAGGCCAGGTAGGGAGAGCCACCACTCTGCCTTTTAAAAGTGCATACATGTTGAAAAAGAAAACAAACAAACAAATAATACACACTCCGTTTTATAAATGAGACAAAACATGCCTAACATACTGGGAAGGACTCCTCAGCATACAAAGTCAATACAAGCCAAAGCCACATCAGTAGATCTGGACACCAGGGATAGCCAGGAGCTCATCCTACCAGCTTATAGCTCCTCAGTTCGGCTCCGCAAAAGTATCTTAAAAGCAGATCTTGCTTTGTGGTGGTGGCATACACCTTTAATTCTGGCACTCGGGAGGCCGAGGCAGGGGGGATCTCTGAGTTCGAAACTGGCCTGATCTACAAACTGAGTTCCAGAACAACCAGGACAATTACCCAGAGAAACCCTGTCTCCAAAAACAAAAGCAAAAAACAAAACAAACAAACAAACAAACAAGGAGGTCTTGCTGAAATAAAGGGAAAGGCACACCCTACGGCAGCAGTTCTCAACCTTCCTAATGCTGCAACCCTTTAATACAGTTCCTCATCTTGTGACCCCCCAACCATAAAATTATTTCATTGTTACTTCATAACTGTAACTTTGCTACTGTTATGATTGTAATGTAAATATCTGTGTTTTCCAATGCTTTTAGGTGACCCCTGTGAAAGGGTCATTCTACACCTCCAAAAGGGTTGAAACCCACAGGTTAAGAACCACTGTCCCAGAGGCTCAATTCTGCCCAGCCCTGAATAGAGCAGAGTCACACTAAGTAAGCCAGGGGAAGAAACAAGACAACCACCATGTTCCTCTGCTGGAAGCCACTAAGCTACCCAAAGCAATCACCACCAGAGCAGCTGGGAAGACCAGACAGATATCAATGTAGGGTCTCACTGTGCTTGTAGCCAGGAGGGCCCCACCCACACTGATCCCTATGAGGTTTCTTCTTTTAATTTTTTCTCAGCTGACTCATTAAAGCCAGAGCCCAAGTAAAACAAGAGGATCCAAAAATTAAACATGTACTTAGGGCCCACTCCTAAAATACACAATCTTCTTTATAAACGTGAAGGATGCCTGGGCTAAGAGCAGTGAGGCAGCAGGTAGCACTTCTCCCTCAGGTTTCGAAGACAGTATATTGGACTATTTAATAAAGATTTCCCTGAGTGGCAAGATGGCTCGGAGGGTAAGGGCACCTGCTGACAAGCCTGACACCTGAGTACAATTGCTAATATCCACTTGGTAGGAGAGCTCCAGCAACTTGCCCTCTCCCCTCCACAGGCAATCTATGCACACACACAAATAGGTGAAAATAAAGTTTTAGTAAATCTGTTTTAAAATATTTATTCCATTATATACTTTTCTAACAGTCTACTTTAAATCAAATGAGAATGAAACATTTCTTTGTCTTCTGTTACCTTTGTCTTTATCACATTTTACAATGGGAGCAAATGTGTCTTTAATGAATGAAAGGGTTTTGCTGCAAGCATAAGACCCCTGGGTTAAAACCTAAATTTATTCTTTAATCATGTATTCATCATCACTCACTGACTTTTGGAAGTCATTTTAGATAATCAGATAAAAACCATAATCTAGAACCATCTATGATTTCCTGGAGCCTAAACCATTTACTTGTCAATTGATTTCTAAACGTATCAAATATGGCAACTCCCACAGCACATTCTGACAACAGGTAGCCCTGTTAATAAAGTGTCTGAAACAACACTTAGCTCCCTGCATGCTAACACAGCTCACAGACAGTAGATGCATTGTCAACTGCTGGTCTGCCTCACAGAACTCAGTTGAGTGATGAAAAACATCGCCATAAAGCTCATTCAGGGAGGGAGGCCTGAGCTTCAGCAGCATCAGAGTGAGGCCTGAACCTCAGGCCTGGGAGCAACATCAGGGGGAGGCCAGAGTCTCAGGGCCCTGAACAGGGAGCAACCACTGAGTGAGATGTGAGACGACGACAGCAGCATCCAGTAGTGGCTTCCAGAAGCTATCACAAGAAGTTCCTCTGGGAAACAGCACCTGTGTCCCAGTCAACACCCACTGACATTTCTTGGTTGGAGATACCCCACTGCTACAGTGACCACTGGACCCTCAGCCCCCACCTATACCTAGAGGAGCAATCACCAGAGCTGTAGTCCCACCTATACCTCAAGGAGCAACCACCTGAGCCTTGGACCCACTTCTACCAGGAGGAACAATCAATCACCTGGGGCTCTGTTCTGCTTGAGTATGAAGGAATACTCAACAGAGCCACAGCCCACCCCCCACTATACCAATTGAAGAAAGAGAGATACCTTGAAGTACAAGCTCCACCTATACCAATTAGAGGAAGAGATGTGTAGACATCGAGGTAAGAACACACTTAACAATATAAAGAGCAATACAGCACCACTAGGAACTAGGAACAACAGCAAGACCTGAACATCCCAACACAGATAAAGCAGAAGAAAATGACCTAAGAAATAACTTTATGAGGATGACTGAGCCCCTTAAAGAGGAAATGAAAAATTCCCCTAAAGAAATGGAGAAGACAAACAAAAAATTGGAAGTTATCCACAAATCCCTTAAAGAAAACCAAGAAAAAGCAATCAAACAAGTGAAGGAAACGATTCAAGACTTGAAATTTGAAATAGAGGCAATAAAGAAAACATAAACTGAAATACTGGAAATGGAAAATCTGGGTAAAAGATCAGGCACCACAAATGCAAGCATAAACAACAGAATACAAGAGATGAGAGAGAGAATTTCAGGCATTGAAGAAACAACAGAGGAAATAAATTCATCAAAGAAAATGTTAACTCCAACAAACCCTTAACACAAAACATACAGGAAATCTGGGACACCATGAAAAGACTGAACCTAAGAATAACAGGGATAAAAGAAGAAGTCCAACTCAAAGGCACAGTAAATATATTCACAAAATCATACAAGAAAACTTTCCCAACCCAAAGGACATGCCTATGAAAGTACAAGAAGCTTACAGAACACCAAATAGAGTAAGCCAAAAAAAGTCCCCTCACAAGTGAGCATCATGACCTAGCCCCCAAACTTGCACCAATTTCCAGACTTTTTGTCTCTTAAATGAAAAGGAGTTCATTCCAAGGCCTTGCCTGAATATGGATGGGAGGCTCTGTCTGGGAAGAAGATGTCTAAAGGAGGAAAGAGGAAGGAACAGGAGAGAGTATGGGGTGGGAAAAAAAGAAAGATTAAAAAGTACCTTTCCATATGTGTACTATGAGTGCATGATATGAAAGCAGAAGGGGGAGGAAGAGATCAGCAGGGAAGGGCTTGGAGACAGAGTGGAGGAGAGATGGAAAGACAAACAGGAGCAAAGTAAGATGTATATGGTATGGAAGTGTCATAGTGAAACCATTATTGTGTATGCTAAAAACAATTAATAAAAGAAAAAATACACTATCAATCTTCTTCCTCACTTTCCCACAGGGAGCTATGGCTATTTGATCAGGATGACTGTCCATCAAGTAAAGGAAAATTGTTTTCAGAGATGCCTGAGATGGCAAATACTCCTGGGAAGACAAATCACACCAGTCAGAATGGAGGTTGTTGGAGACCACAAGCTCAAGGTGTTTTAACTTAGTTCTCTCCCATGTATGCACTCTGCAGCTGTCTTCTCATTCTATAATGTATAACCGAAATAGACACCCTCAATAACTAGCAAAATCTCCACACTAGTTCTGATTCGTGGACACAAGTCTATGATGATAGGGAAAGTCAGCAGAAGACACACAAGAACATTGGTTCTTAGCCTGTGGATAGAAACCCCTTTGTCAAACCTCTATCTCCAAAAAATTTCTATTACGATTTATAACCATAGCAAAATTACAGTTATGAAGTAGCAACAAAATTATTATTGGGGGTCACCACAACATGTGGAACTGTATTACTGGGTCACAGAATTAGGAAGGTTGAGAATCACTGCATTAGAATGTGTCTACTTACCAAGTAAACCAACAGCAGTGCTATATTCCCTGGAAGAATTGCAGCCACAGCTGCCACCACAAAGAACTCTGTATCGAAGATCCTACCTCATTCCCATTCAGCTTATCTATAT